CGCTCCGGACCCCGCCCGCCCCTGTCCCTGCACCGCCCTCGGCCCTGAGCTCGCCTTCCGCGTGGCTCCACCCCCTTCCGCTTCTCTCCCCACGGTTCCAGGAGCTGGGGTCAAATTGTCAGAGCAGGCTGATTTGCATAACCCAATGGCTGTGCGTATGCAAATGAGGCTGGTGGTGGTTGGCTGGAGGTTGGCAGGATAACTCGGGCGAGCGGGGCCTTTGTCCTTCAGTGGCTGTGAGGCAGCTGCCCCGTCGGAGTCGCGGCCCGTGGTGAGGCGAGGGGGCCGGGAGCGGGCGTGCGAGTGGGGCGAGAGGGACAGACGGACGGACGGGCCGCGCGGTGGCAGCGGGAGCTGGAAGAGCCTGTGAGGGAGTGCAGAGAGCAGGCGCCCAAGCGCCCACCGTGGCTGGAGCAGTCCGCACGCCGCGCTCTCTCTGAGGGGGATTTGCAGTTGCAATATGACTTTGGAGGAATTCTCGGCTGGAGAGCAGAAGACCGAAAGGTAAGGCGGCCGGAGTCTCTCCCTGAACTCTTTTCGCCCACTGCGTGCACCCCATTGCGGCCCCTCTGGGCAAGGTTTGGCGGGGAGCGACCGGTTAAAAGTTTGCAGAGGGCACCTCCCGTCCGTCTCGCTCCGGGGGCCTTTCCCGAGGCGTCCGTGGACGGAAGGAGCGTGCCCCCAAACCCGGCCGAGCCCTCCAGGCCTTTGCAAAAGGCAGAAGGGACTGTCCCTGCCGGTGCCGCTCCTGCGGCTAGCAGCCTGTGGCTGCGCCCAGCGCCGGGGACTGGCAGCGCCCTCGGGGGAGGGTGGCGGGTGGCCCTATCGGGGTTTTTCGCAGGCCACCCGGCCTCTGGTCGTGTGAGGGTTCACTGGGGGTGACAGGGCCGGGGGTGTGGGTGGGGGGCTTTGGGTTTGCAGAAAGCGGAGCGGCGCGGTGGCGCACGAACTCGGGAGGGAGAGTCGCGGTGCAGGGCGAAGGGGCGGCGATGGCCCCGAAGGGACCGGGGCTGACGGGACCCCTTTGCTCTCCCTCACGTGTAGGATGGATAAGGTGGGGGATGCCCTCGAGGAAGTGCTCAGCAAAGCCCTGAGTCAGCGCACCATCACCGTCGGTGTGTACGAGGCGGCCAAGCTGCTCAACGTGTAAGTGGGGCCCTCGAGAGTCCCTCGTGGCACCCCCTTCTCTCCCCAGCCCCGTCGGAGGCGACCTCGCCGAGCGCCCCCCCGCCCTGCAGCGCAGCTTCCTGCGGCTTCCCACCTGCCCCACGGGCAGCGGGCAGGACGGGGCCGACCCCGGGACCCGGGCGGGTATTGCGGGCGTCCACGAGGACGGGTGGTGTCTCTGCGCTCACCCGCCCCTCCCGCTGCCCTCAGCGACCCGGATAACGTGGTGCTGTGCCTGCTGGCGGCGGACGAGGACGACGACAGGGATGTGGCTCTGCAGATCCACTTCACCCTGATCCAGGCGTTCTGCTGCGAGAACGACATCAACATCCTGCGCGTCAGCAACCCGGGCCGACTGGCTGAGCTCCTGCTCCTGGAGACCGACGCAAGCCCAGCAGCGAGCGAGGGCGCCGAGCAGCCCCCGGACCTGCACTGCGTCCTGGTGACGGTAAGCGAGAGGGGGGCTGCGGGCCGACTGGAGTGAAGAGTTCTGGAGGGGAGTGAGCGAGGGTTCAGAGTCGCCTGACTGCAGATCTGGAATGAGGGGGAGGGCAAGAGCGTGGCTGCTTTTGCCCCATTAGAGAGTGTGGCTGGACTTTCGGCCGAGATGTGCTAGTTTCATCATCAGGATTTTCTCTGGTACAGAACATGTCTAAGCACGTTGGAGGCTGCCAGCAGCGGAAGAGATCCTTGTGAGTCAGCATTGTCAGCCCAGCTACTCCCTACCTACATCTGCACTACCTCCCGTGACTAATTCCTTTAGTAGGGCAGATTAGATAAAGCCAAATAAATTCCTGGCTCACCCTCATTAAGGAGTCAGCTTCATTCGCCGCCACTCAGAGTTAAAAATAGAAATGGTGTAGGAGACAGACCTTATTAATTCCCTAGAAATACTTGAAGAGGGTAGAGTGGAAATTTTTTCTCTGCAATCTTACATTTTTTTTAATGGGCCTTTTTTCCCTGGTAAAAACCTTTGGTAGATAGAGAACTTGTGTTTTCAGAGGTAATATGATAGCTTTGTCTTTTACATTTTACTCTTTTTGACTGGTCTAGTTAAGTGGCAGCCTAACCATTTTGGTACTCTTGAAAATTACTACTCCTCTCCTGTCTTTGGAGAGGTAGAACAGGTGGCATTTCTAGTTAACTGCTATGCAGCTTTCATCCATTGCACACACAGCATGGAAATATTCCTCAGAGTTGTTTTCACTCAGG